CGGAGCTGGCTGAAAAGCTCATGAGAGTATTTCAGGCATGGAAAGCCAAGACACTCTGGCAAAAGATCTCTGCGAGTGAGATCCCAGTGGAAAGAACAGGTCTTCAAAGAAGGAGGTACCTTTCTCTGAAGGGAGGAGAGAACCTCCACTTTGACTATGACCTTGTCTAAACAAGATAAGAGTCGGAGAACTCAGAGGGCTTCCATAGCCTTGGAAACTCATGACTGGAGCATAGGGAGATTACTGATGCCATAGACAGGAGTGTCAATTGGTAAAGTCAACAACAGGAGTCACTGTGCACTTACTCCTCATGTAGGATCTCTGTCCTTAATGTGCTGTACATTGAGATTTAATGCTATAACAAGTACTCAAACAATATATTTCACTTTGTGTTTCTATGGGGGTGCAAACTGTTGAAATCCTTACTTAATGCATACTAAACTGATCTTCTGTAAAAAAAAAAAAAAAAAAAAAAAGAAATTATCAATTCCCAACTTGACTCTCACTGGGATTAAACATGACAATAGGTCTGCTCTGATTTCATCATCATTTAAAAAAAATCATCTATTATTTTTCACTTTATGTTTCTGTGTGGGAGCAAACTGTTGAAATCCATACTTGATGTATACTAAGCTGATCTTCTGTATATTAAGATAATCAAAAATGAATCTTGATGTGAATGGAAGGGGAGAGGGAGTGGGAAAGGGGAGGGTTTTGGGTGGGAGGGACGGTATGGGGGGGAAGCCATTGTAATCCATAAGTCGTACTTTGGAAATTTATATGCATTAAATAAAAGTTTAAAAAAAATATACTACTATAACATTTTATTAAACTTCATGATAACCACAAAGAAAACATGTGTAGAGGATATATATAAAATAGAAAGAGAAAATAATCGTAGCATATCATGGCAAAAAAAAAGTCACAAAAGAGGATAACAAGATAGAGGAACAATAAAACTATCAGACAAAAATATTTAAAAAAATTACGATAGAAAGTCCATACTTATCCATGATCACTTTAAATGTGAATGGGTTAAACTTTTCAATCAAAAGAGAATGAGTGGCTAAAATCTCCAACTATATATTGTTTGCAAGAGACTCACTTTGGATTTAAGAAAGCACATCTTTTGAAAGTGCATGGATGGAAATTATATTCTAGTACAGAATAACCAGAAAAGAGCATGGGCGGGGGGCAGCGCTGAGGCACAGTGGGTTAAAGCCCCAGCCTGAAGAGCCGGCATCCCATTTGGGTGTGGGTTCTTGTCCAGCTGCTCTACTTCTGATCCAGCTCTCTGCTATGGCCTGGGAAAGCAGTAGAAGACATCCCAAGTCTTTGGGCCTCTGCACCCACGTGGGAGAACCAGAAGAATCTCCTGGCTTCTGACTTCAGATCAGCTCAGCTCCATCTGGGGAGACATCTGGGGAGTGAACCAGTGCATGGAAGACCTCTCTGTCTCTCTCTCTCTCCATAACTCTGATTTCAAATAAATAAAAAATAAATCTTTAAGAAAAAGAGCATGGATGGCTATGATTATATCAAACAAAATAGACTTTACATAAAAATATAAATAAGATTATTATATAATGATAAAGGGTTAATTCATCAGAGAGAAACAAATTATATTATTAGAGCATCTAAATGGACAGATTTAAGGGGAGAAATAGACAGAAATGCAGTGATAATAAGGAATTTCACTACTCCACTTTCTTTTTTATTTTTTGCCAGGCAGAGTTAGACCATGAGAGAGACAGAAAGAGTTTTAAACAGTGAAAGAGAGACAGAGAGAAAGGTCTTCCTTCTGTTGGTTCACTCCCCTAATGGCCGCTATGGCTGGCGTTGCGCTGATCTGAAGCCAGGAGCCGGGTACTTCCTCCTGGTCTCCCATGCGGGTGCAGGGACCCAAGCACTTGGGCCATCCTCCTCTGCCTTCCCGGGCCACAGCAGAGAGCCAGACTGGAAGAGGAGCAACCGGGACTAGAACCTGGGGTGCTGGTGCTGCAGGTGGAGGATTAGCCAAGTGAGCCACAGCTCCACTTTCAACAATGGATAGAATACTCACACAGGAAATCAATAAGGAAAACTGCAAACTAAATATGTCTAATGAATTCATACAAAACATTCCAGTCAACAGCAGAATATATATTCATATTCTTTCATGCACACCTGAGCATTCTCCAGAATAGATAACATGTTAAGTCACAAAATTAGTCTTTGTAAGTTTTAAAAAGCTGAAATCATGTCAAATATTCTTTCTAACCACAATGAAATAAAACAAATAACAGAGGAAAAACTAGAAATTTCACAAATGTGTAGGGATTAAACAACACATTCTTGAACAACCAATTGGTCAAAAGAGAAATCAAAAGGACATTAAAAATATCTTGGGGGAAACCAAAAATAAACACACACATATTCAAGCTTGTTGAACACAGCAAAAGCAGTTCTAACCAGGAAGTTTGCAGTTAAAAAAAAAGAAACAAGGGAAAAATCTGTAAAAGGAGTAAAAGAAAGTTCTCAAGTGAACAACATAACTATACATATCAAGGAACTAGAAAAAGGAGAACTACACCAAAAATTAGTACAATGAAATAAATAATGAAATAGAGAACATAACATGTTTGTAAGTCAACAAAAGAATTTTTTTTAAAACTTAAACATATGGACACACCATCAGCTAGACTAAGAAAAATGAAATACTCAAGTCGTGAAGTCAGAAGTGAAGAGAAATCATTAGTACTGTTGTCACTGAAACAAGAACAATTATCACTGTTATGAACAAGTATATGCCGCCAAACTAGCTACCAAGAAGAAACTGATAACATCCAAAAACATACCAACTCCCATGGCTGAATCATGAAAAAGCAGAAAACTGAGCAAACCAATGACGAAGAAGGAGACTGAATCATTTTAAAACCTCCCAAAAAATAAATGCCCAGGACCAGTTGACTACACTAATGGATTCTATCAAATATTTACAGAAGGTCTTACATTATCCCTTCTCAAACTTTTTCAAAAACATTGAAGGGAGAATACTTCCATATTTATTTTACGAGAAAAGCATTCCTCTGATATAAACAGAAAAGTACAGGGCAGTATTTTTAATTAATATAGATATAAAAATCCTCAACAAAATGCTAGCAAATAGAATCCAACAGCACATTAAAAGGTTTATATGCCGTGATGCATTGATTCTTATCCCTGAGATGTGAGGACAGTTCAACCTGTGTATATTCATGATGTGCTATTCCATATTAGTTGAAGGAAGGCTACAAATGACAGAATCACAAGAGATATAAAAAATGCTTTAGAAAATCTTCAACATATTTTCTTATAAAAGATCTCAACAAACTAATATTGCTGAAATTAATATGGAGCTACAAAAGATTCTAAATAACCAAAGTAATCTTAAGAAAGAGAACCAATCTGGAGGTATCACACTTTCTGACTTTGAGATATATTTAAAATGCATAATTAAAATAGTATGTTATTTGTATAAGAACAGACATGTTGGGCAATGGAACAGAGTACCCAGAAATAAACCCATGCTTCTATAGTTAGCTGTTCTTTTTATAAGGCTGCAAGAATATACAGTATAAAAAAAGGATGGGTAATGGTGTTCAGAAAATGGAGTATCTATGTGCAAAGGAATTAATTTGGATCCTAATTATACATTACACAAAAATCAACTCAAAATCTATTAATTTAATCAATTTAAACAAAAGACCTGAGAATATATTACTTCTAGAAGTTACCATGGGGGGAAGTTCACAAAAGTAGTCTTGTCAATGATTTCCTGGATATAATTTCAAAATTTAAATAATAAAAGCGAAAATATACAAGTGGCACTACATCAAACTAAGCAGCTCCTGAACAGCAAAGGAAACAATCACCAGAATGCAATGTAAACTTATGGAACAGGAGAAAACATTTGCAAATCATATCAGTGATAAGGGTCTTAAAATCCAAAAAATGGTTACTCCTATAACTCAATAGCATAAAAAAGCAAAAGAAAAAAAAGTCACCAAATCAAACAGTAAAACTGATCCAAAACCTTAAATAAGAGACATTTCTCCAACAAAAACATCACAAATCATAAGAGAAATACAAATTAAAACCAAAATGAAATATAACACACCTGTTAGAGTGGCTATTAACATCAGTGTTAGCAAGGATATGAAGAAATTGTAAAACTTTTGATGGGAATTTAAAATGGTACAGCTTCTATGTAAACAGCATTCACACAAAAAGAGAGGAACACACAGAGAACAGCATGTGACCAGGAGGGAGAGACTGGAGTTACACTGGCATAAGCCAAAGAATCCCTAGATCATCAGAAGCTGGGAGGTACAAAGTTAAGACCCTCCTCTACAAGCTTTGAAAAGGCATGTGCCGGGCAACGCTTTGATTTTGAATTTCTTACCTCCAGATCTGTTAGAGAATACATTTCTTTTGACTCAAGCTATCTAATTTTCGGCATTTTGTTATGGCAGCCTTATGGAACTAATACAGTTGATTGATGTGAAGACTAACAAAATAAAAATCTCAAGAGTGTGCTTGATTATGACATTCAACAAACCATAAGGTTCACTGCCTATGTAATGTATTCTATAATATAAATGCTTTGAGTTGAGGAACCATACTTATATTCATCCTACCGAGGCATCAGTCTAATACACACCACACAAAACAGTAACTCAGGAGACAATAAACTACTTTGAATAATGAGGAAATTTTTCTTAGTCAATCCTCTGTAAGACATGTTAGAGAATATGAAATAGTTGATATAGTGCTTAGAAGTTTATGACATGGAAATTCCTTTCTGTGCAAAAAAAATATGATTAAGTATATTTATGATTTTATACTGCCCAATTATTTGAAAAATAAATTAAGTTCTATTGAAACTAATGAATAATTACTATTAAAGTTTATATTATGTTTTTAGAGGAAATAATTATTCATTTCTTTCAAGGTAATGAAAAAATTTTTGAAATACTTATCTTCTTTTTTTGTTGGTTGAAATTATCAATGATTACACCAATAAACAAATTCAAAGTGAAGAAGGACCCAAAGATGATAAAAATGACAAAATAAATATACATGTAGAGGTTGTGTTCATAACTGGGCTGTTGGTCGACCTATAAAATTAACACAAGTTAGTTGTTATTTGACAATAACATTCATGATTTTTTCTTGTAATCTGACAAAGTAATCAAAACAATCCTTGGTAAACTTGACATTTCAGAAACCATAGCATTGTTGAGGCCTAACATAATGATTTTTATAAAATTTAATTAACAATGAACAAATAGTTAATACATGTGTACTGTAATCATAAGTATAATCTTCAAATGACAATCAAGGGTCTATCTATATATGATCCTTGTTCTCAGATTGCTGGGATAATTTAGCAAGTAAATGACCTAGGAAATGTTTTTTCTTTACAAAAAGAAACTATGAAAGAGGAAAAAAGATCCCATCTATGTAAACTTTGCTTTTTTTCTCCCCAATTTGGTTACAAAAATGCCTTTACTGAATTTTGTGACAAGATAAACTAGCAATTAATTTTTCAAATTTATTAATATTGAATTCATTTTACATACACTGTTTAAGGTGCTTCAAAATATAAAAAAAAGGAAAACTATGAATAAATTTTTCTGTTTTTATTGGATAAGTTAATATATACTGAGTACTTATTGTATAGCTATACTTGCATTTTCTTATTGGATCCTCACAGGAGCCCTACGACTTAGGAACCAGATTATTTTTATTTCTACAGAGGAATAAATTTAGGCTCAGAGAAATAAGGTAGTCCGCTCAAACTAAATTGTATAGCTTTGATGATGTGGTAGTCAGGATCTGTCTCTAAATGCTACACTTAGAACAACTAAGTTCCTATCCCAGTGGAAGTTCTTCACTGTATAAATACCAAGCATTCCATGGAGCTATAATTTGAAAAATACCAAGCTATACTAAGGGACTTGGGCATGTGTAAGATTTAGTGGTATGCTCTCCAACACTTACATTAACAGAATCAACTGCTGCATACATAATATCCATCCAGCCTTTAAATGTTGCCTGTAAACACATTAATAAAATTTGAATGCAAATCACATACTCTAAAATAGACATAAATGCAGTCTTGTCTGTTTAGTGTTAAAACATTTAGTAAGTAATATTATACTAGTAAAATTTGCTGTATTTCAAAATATGAGTTTAATATAAAAAAGTTATTTTCAATCAATTTCCACTAAAATAAATACCAAGTTTCATGAAAGGAGTCACTTACAACTTGAAGCAGAGATAGGTAACCAAGTCCAACATTATCGAAGTTCACTTTTAGGTTTTTCCACCTCACATTTTGACTACCATTCATAAGGGCAAAACACTCAGAACGATTTGAAACTTGTTTTGTAGGAAATCGTGAATCATCTGTGGTGTTAACACACTGATAAAACTTGCCAGCAAACAAATTTACTCCCATGATGCTAAATATTAGCCAGAATATAAGACATACAAGTAGCACATTCATGATGGAAGGAATTGCTCCTATGAGTGCGTTTACAACCACCTAATATTCAAAAGAAAGAAAAGGTTTATTAAAGATTAGTCAAAAATGTTAAATAGGCAACATTAAAGAAAAACAATGCAGGATTACAGAATGAGATATGCTGCCTTTAAATATTTAAGACATCAAATCAACTGGTGAACATGTATATCTAGTGAATGCCTACTACATGCTCATCAATGGACCTGTTTAGACAACATGAAACATGAACTCTGTGATCAACAGGTTTGCAAATTCCATCTTTTACATGGTAGAACTCTCAGCAATATAGCTAAGATAATATGGCAGCTTAAAGAAAGGATAAAGATAAATAAACCAAGAATATAAAATTGATAAGATAAAGTCTAAAACCCACACACTCTAGAAAAAAACCACAAAAATAGTAAAATATGAACTTAAAGATTCATCTCTCTATAATTAGCAGTACTAAATATTCCCCTAGGTAGAGAAACTGATGCTGGATATGCAATGTTTAAGATTGAGAATTATTTAGTGGATTAAACCCCTTAAATTTAGATAATTCTACCAAATGAGAGCAGTATTTTTGAATTCATTGTTGTAACTATAAAAATATTTTTCAGGTTGAGTGAGTGTATGACCTATCAGTTAAAATGCTCACATCCCGGGCCAGCGCTGTGGCGCAGAGGGTTAATGCCCTGGCCTAAGGCGCCGGGATCCCATATGGACGCCGGTTCTAGTCCCGGCTGCTCCACTTCTGATCCAGATCTCTGCTGAAGCCTGGGAAAGCAGTAGAAGATGGCCCAGGTCCTTGGGCCCCTGCACCTGCATGGGATACCCAGAAGAAGCTCCTGGCTTCGGATTGGCGCAGCTCCAGCTGTTGCGGCCATCTTGGGGAGTGAACCAACAGATGGAGGACCTTTCTCTCTGTCTCTACTTCTCTCTGTGTAACTCTGTCTTTCAAATAAAAAAAAAAAATGCTCACATCCCATACTGGTGTGATTAGGTTCCAGTCCTGGCTCTGCTCCTGATCCCAACTCCCCGGTAGTGTGCATCCTGGGAGGAAGAAGGTACTGCTTGGGAAGCTGGGTCCTGGAACCCATGCAGTAGATCCAGCTTAGGATCCTGGATCCTGTCTTTTGCTTTTATAGCCCTAGCCACTGTGGGAATTAGGAATAAACCAGCAGATGGGGGTGTCTGTCTCTGTCTCTGATCTCTGAAATGAACTAATAATAATAATTATTATTTTTTGACAGGCAGAGTTAGAGAGAGAGAGAGACAGAGAGAAAGGTCTTCCTTCGGTTGGTTCACCCTCCAAGCCAGGTGCTTCCTCCTGGTCTCCCATGGGGTGCAGGGCCCAAGGACTTGAGCCATCCTCCACTGCCTTCCCGGGCCACAGCAGAGAGCTGGCCTGGAAGAGGGGCAACCGGGATAGAATCCGGTGCCCCGACCGTGACTAGAACCCGTGGTGCTGGCGCCGCATGCGGAGGATTAGCCTAGTGAGCCGCGGCGCCGGCCTAAATAATTATTTTTGTATGAGTCCTTAGCTAAGTATAGTTAGTGCTGGCCTAACTAAATGAAGATGAGGCCTCATTTTTCATGAACGTTTCTGTTATTTCTGCTTTTCCACTACTGACCACCAGTATCTCTTGCTACTTCATTTCCTTCCACAACTTTTGTAGCACTCATAATCTCTAAACCTTCTCTCTCCCTCCTTTAAAACCTACCTTTCTTCTTACACTCAGCTCTTGCCCCAGCTGAGTACAAATATTCTAAAGATTAATTTTTAGGCAGATAGTATTGTGGCCCCTCCTTTGTTGCAATATATCACACAGCCTCTCAATATACTGACAAATGGGGAAATATTAGGAATCTCGGACTCTCTATAAGATTGTTTAGAGCAAGGGCTGTCAAACATTTTCTTAAGTGTTTTTTGGCTCTGTGGGTTATTTGATCTCTATTGTAACTATTTAACTTTATCATTATAGCCAAAGAACACACATAAAATGGACATGGCAACATTTCAGACCTTATGGGCTGTAGTTTGCTGAGTCCTTGTCCAGAGCTTTGATTATTACTCTGGAGTACCTGATCCTGTGCGGGTTCCATGGGATTATGACAATATATAAAAAGCATTGTGTCTGGGCTTTTTTTTTTTTGAGAGATGTTTCATACTTTAATCAATTCCTTATGGAGTATACTAAAGAAGGTTGGTAAGAACAGAACTAGAGAGTAAGTCCAAAGTGGTCATCTCTTGTTCAAGCACACGTTTTCATCCTGCTGTCTTGCTCCCCTCCCCACTATGCTTATCACTTAGCTACACAATTCCTTCTAATCATTGCCCATAAACTCTTTGCCTCTCTACCATGTAGCATAGCTACTTAGAATACTTAGTGTTTGTGATTGGATAATGCTCTTTCACTCATGGGTCCAATGTCACCCCCTTCCCAGACTTGGCCCAGCAGGCACTCCATCCTACAGAGTATTCCTGTAGCATTCTGTGTTTACGATTTTATGGTATCTATTGCAGAATAATTACTGTTCTCCTGTCTCTTCTCTGACCACTGGTCCTACTCACTTTTGGGAGACTGAGGTCTATTTGCCACTGTACTCTGTGCTTTTTGTTTTTAATAGCACAACAGCCAAAACACAAAGTTGGTGTTCAAAAAATGTAAGGGCAGAATAATGAGCCACTGCAGGAGGTGGTTAGTTATTATGGTGACCAGAACCCAATAGGGTGAGTCAATAAATTCAAAAGGCTCAGGACTCAAAGGAAGCTACAAATGCCTCAAATAATATTATTTTATTTATTTTTCAAAATGATACTGCAGTATACAAATGTTTCCTTTTGCATGTTTAGCAAATGTAACTCCATAGATACATTTTCCCCTCACAGTATATGAAAGAATTTTTCTGAACGCATTTTTCATATATTATAGGTAAAGAACAGACAACAGCAAACAGGGTAAAATAAAGGACTAGCTTAAATCATTTAAGGAAGTAGGTTTGTGAGGCAAGGATGTTCTTTGTTCATGAAAATGTCATATGCAATATGCAGAAATCCAGAGATCAATCATAAGGTCTTGACAGGATAATGTTCTATAAATGCTCAAAAATTATGCCAATGTCAATGAGTTCCAATACCATCTTTTTGCATAAAATGAAATTTGTAGTTTCACATTTGTTGAATGATAAAGAGCATTTGAATTTTTTCTTTGAAAAAAGTATAATAATAATCTCTCTTATATACTTGGGAGCTAAACATACTAGACACATTAAGTAATAGAGGTTATTGTTATATTTAATTACTAGAGATTATAGTCATAATTAGTTTTTAGCAGGGATAACAATGAAGATCTGCTAGGCTGAACGATCTCTAATGTTCACCTAAGGCTGATAAAACTTAGATTTCCAAGCTCAGAGCTTCTGACTCAGTAGGGTCTGTGGAGAGCCCCAAGAATTCACATTTCTACTAAGTTCTCAGATGATGCTGATGCAAACTGTGGGTCACTGACCACACTCAGAAGCGGTGAGGTAGACATCTTCATGTTAAATGACTCAGGCTATGGGTAGAAAGGGAGTCATGTAAATATATATATCAACCTAATATCTGCACATAGGAGAAGAATGCTCAGTTATGTCTGGTGGCAGCAACTTTAAATTGAGACTTAAAACACAGGTAGGTGTTTGTCTGCTATACAGATGGTGATGAAATGCGATCCCAGAAGGTCAAGGTAAGTATTCCAAGTCAAGGGAATAATAGAGGCATGCAAAAGCAAGTATGAATATGAAGAAGAAATTCAAGATGACTTGCAACAAAAAATATTGACTAATTACAGAGAATATGATAATTTTCCTCCACATATTTTATGAAGAGGTTGCTAATTTAATACAGCCTTTAAAGTTAGGGTGGTGGTCGTGGTTATTTGTCTCTGCTAGATGAATCTCTTTACATACACTATGTATCCTCCTGAACTCTAAGAGCTTTACTTTCACAACTGTAATTTGGCTATAATTCCACTTGCTTTGAAACATCATTTTGAGGAGGAAACTAAATGTTATAGCTGATATTACTTCAATCCATGTCCTTTCTTATGCTCACTTCACAGGACAGTTCCTTAAAAATATTATTTGAGCACCTATCACAGGGAAATCCTTTATGGTTTATATAGGATAGATGGTATTAGGATCAATAGTGATTCCTTTTGCTAGAATTTGTAGTATACAGATTTCCATTTAAAAGGAAAATCGCATATTTGGATTACTACTGCCTAACAATATTAGATAAAAGGAAGCAAAGTGTATTTGACTTATTCCTTTATTAAAAAATAGGGACTGGCATTGTGGCATAGTGGGTAAGGCTGCAACCTGAAATGCCAGCATTCCATGTGGGCACTGATTTGTGTCCCAGCTCCTGCACTTCCTGTCACCTCTGCTAGTGACTTCAGAAAAGCATGGGAAGATGGCCCAAAGTGCTTGAGCCCCTCTGCCCACATGGGAGACATGGATGAAACTACTGGCCATTGTGGCCATATGGGGAGTGAACCAGTGGATGGAAGATTCTTTCTTTCTCTTTCTCCCACTCTCTGTAGCTCTGGACTTCAAATGGATAAATCTTTAAAAAAACTCTGAAAGCTTGTGCACATATGAACACATATGCACACTTATATACATAAGCAGTCCACATTTATGTATGTAGGTATATGTGTGTAAGTATATGTAAGCCACAATGTATATAACCCACTTTTCCATATTTCATAGTTTATTAAAAAATAAAAAAACTATATTTCTTACCCTCATTCCTTCAAACCTTGATAACGCTCTTAGAGGTCTCAAAGCTCGAAGAGTCCGAAGGGATTTAATAGGGCCAAGGTCTGAGTAGCCAAGTGTGTTTGCCACTAAAGTAACCAAAGAAACCTATCAAAAGAAAATTTACATTAATTATTTTAATGAAATGATAATGCACCATGGAAAAGTCTCTTGCATTGCTTATTCAAAGAAGCTGAACCAGAACCGTACCATTTTACGTTCACAGTTATCCAATCATTGCCTGAAAAATGAGTAAGTCAAAGGATTTTTGAAAGGAAGTAGATTTTAAGGAAAGCTAACCAAATAATAAGAAATAGGAATGTGGATTTTTTATTATATCCAAATAGCAGTCACCTGCTTTTTACAATTTTGTAAACAATGTTTATACACAAGGTTTATTTTGGCACCAGAATTTTGAAATCCATGCATAGGGTTCCAATAATATACATTTATCATGAAATTTTTGTTGACTTTTCACATGCATAGATTTCAAAAACTTTTTGCACTAAAATATACTTTAATGCCACTTTCCAGGAAATTTTTGAAGTTCTCTCATACATATTAAATATAAGAACCTAACTAGGACTACTACTAGCATTAATTTGAGATTAAATTCAGATCCTAACAACACATATGATTCTGAAGTTAATCATGATAGTGTGGCAATAGCTCAAAAACCCAAGTCACAGTATAAACACTATCCAAACGCATTCTGAAGACTCATGAATTTGAGATGGGGTAAATTTCCATTCAATATTGCTTTTGACCTTTGATTTCTCAGTATTGGTACAAAGGAGCTGTCTTGTAATCACTGGTAGGAGAAATTCTCAATTACATTAAACACAGAATGAGAGTACATGATATCACTGGTTTCACAATCAACAGAGATACTGTAATAAGAACATCACCATTTTAGATCAGTGACAATGACTATAACCAGCAGGAGTTTGTGTTATTATAAATTATTTTAGAAGAAAAAACGTAGACACAAATAAAGTCAATACACATTTCAGTCACAGAGCAATGAGCTCCTCAATAAAGTTAGATATGGAACAGTGCATGCATTGTTTATTAATAAGTTCAATTTACTCACTGATTTCATACTATGTATAGCAGAAGACAATGCCTAATAAGGAACAATGTCTGGAATGTCTTCATCATGAATTAAGGTATTGACTAAGTTCAAGTATTCCAGGGATTAATATGAACACCTAAGAATCGACTTACTTATAATTAAGTATTAACAGAGTAGAACTCTTTTCTCACAGGTTCACTGCTTCTATCAGAGACAAGTTGAATCATTTATGAAGCAGGTGGAAATAATGTTCCTCTCCATGTTGTTACTTCTGAATTTTTTCACTAAATGTAATACAACCATTTACTTTTAATTCCTTAAACTGTATATTTAGCAGCACTATTCCTTGTACCACTCTTAAAATCCCCCATTAAGGTTTTTTTTTTCATATAAATATACTTTATAAAAGGGTGCTTTTGTTTTAATCAGAACAAAATAATGTTTTAAAATGCCCATTGAAATTTGAATAGCCTCTAAGGAAGTGAGATGCCTGTTCTCCAAATCACTGTTTAATTTAATGATATTAAATGTAATATATGCATATTGATAAAACTACAGTAAAGTCTGTAAGAATATGCATCTATGTGTGCATCTACCTATATCTGTCCATCCTTCCATCCATTCATCCAGTTACACATTCTTACATGCATTCTTACAGGCATTGTCTTCTGCTATACATAGTATATATATATATATATGTATGTATATATATATATGCACATGGATGGAACAAAACAACTCTAAAATCTGCAGAAGGAACAAAAAACTCTAAAATCTATAACTAAATATAAGCTATTTCTTCTCTAATGACAAAGTTTAGATTTCTAAAATCTGGGAGAATTGGTAAGATATTGAGGAGTATGTTCCAAGAAAAATAATATTTGGAGATAGAAGGCATGGACTATTTTAAGAAGGCCTTTTTAAACTGTATAAATATATTTAGTAAGAGATTTCTAAATTATAGCATTAGAATATAACACAATATAGAATACACTGAATAATTGCCAATAATAGATATTGTACCCTTAAATTCTATTTGAGATTCCTTGGTCTCACAAACGGTTTTAACATTTATTTCCTGACAATCTCAGTGAAAATTTCACTAAAACACATTTTTGCTTTATTAAAATAGTACATAAACTGAAGATTTTAATGTACTTTCCATGATCAAAATATTCAACAGCTCTTTGAATGTATTACTTAAAATAATGCCAGCTTCTCTGCTCCAGTGATTCTAGAGATGAGTATGCTGCAGCATACAGATACAGACAAGGGCTGTCATCTATTCTAATTTTTCCTATCATCATAACTGAGACATATAGTTTGAAATCCTGTATCTTCCTTTCCCATTAATATAAAGTTAGCGCAACAGATAAAGGGTTAAAAACCAGAATCTACAAAGAGATCAAGAAACTCCACAACATCAAAACAAACAACCCACTTAAGAGATGGGCCAAGGACCTCAATAGACATTTTTCAAAAGAGGACATCCAAATGGCCAACAGGCACATGAAAAAATGTTCAAGGTCATTAGCAATCAGGGAAATGCAAATCAAAACCACAATGAGGTTTCACCTCACCCCGGTTAGAATGGCTCACATACAGAAATCTACCAACAACAGATGCTGGCGAGGATGTGGGGAAAGAGGGACACTAACCCACTGTTGGTGGGAATGCAAACTGGTCAAGCCACTATGGAAGTCAGTCTGGAGATTCCTCAGAAACCTGAATATAACCCTACCGTTTGACCCAGCCATCCCACTCCTTGGAATTTACCCAAAGGAGTTTAAATTGGCAAACAAAAAAGCGGTCTGCACCCTAATGTTTATCGCAGCACAATTCACAATAGCCAAGACCTGGAACCAACCTAAATGCCCATCAACGGTAGACTGGATAAAGAAATTATGGGATATGTATTCTTTAGAATACTATACCGCAGTAAGAAACAACGAAATCCAGTCATTTGCAACAAAATGGAGGAATCTGGAACACATCATGCTGAGTGAAGTAAGCCATTCCCAAGGGACAAATACCATATGTTCTCCCTGATCAGTGACAACTGACTGAACACCAAAAAGGAAACCTCCTGAAGTGAAATGGACACTATGAGAAACAGTGACTTTATCAGCATAGCCCTGACTGTTAATGGACAACTTAATACATTATCCCTCTTAGTAGTTTCTTTGTCTGTTCTACTTAATATGACTGGTTTAATTCTGTAATTATCACACAGTTATTCTTAAGTGTTGAAAATTAACTGAAATGTGATCCCTGTTAAACATAAGAGTGGGAATAAGAGAGGGAAGAGATGTACAATTTGGGACATGCTCAAGCTGACTTGCCCCAAATGATAGAGTTAGAAACATACCAGGGGACTCCAATTCAATCCCATCAAGGTGGCATGTACCAATGCCATCTCACTATTCCAAGTGATCAATTTCAGTTCACAATTGATCATAATGAAAGGACTAAGAGTCAAAGGGAGCACATAAACAAGTCTAGTACCTGCTAACACTAACCGATAGAATAAATAAAGGGGAGAGTGATCCAACATGGGAAGTGAGATACTCAGCAGACTCATAGAATGGCAGATGTCCTAAATAGCACTCTGGCCTCAGAATCAGCCCTAAAGGCATTCGGATCTGGCTGAAAAGCCCATGAGAGTATTTCAGGCATGGAAAGCCAAGACACTCTGGCAAAAAGATCTCTGTGAGTGAGATCCCAGTGGAAAGAACAGGTCTTCAAAGAAGGAGGTACCTTTCTCTGAAGGGAGGAGAGAACCTCCACTTTGACTATGACCTTGTCTAAACAAGATAAGAGTCGGAGAACTCAGAGGGCTTCCATAGCCTTGGAAAATCATGACTGGAGCATAGGGAGATTACTGATGCCATAGACAGGAGTGTCAATTTGTAAAGTCAACAACAGGAGTTACTGTGCACTTACTCCTCATGTAGGATCTCTGTCCTTAATGTGCTGTATATTGAGATTTAATGCTATAACGAGTACTCAAACAGTATATTTCACTTTGTGTTTCTATGGGGGTGCAAACTGTTGAAATCTTTACTTAATGTATACTAAACTGATCTTTTGTAAAAAAAAAAAAAAAGAAAGAAATTATCAATTCCCAACTTGACTCTCACTGGGATTAAACATGACAATAGGTCTGATCTGATTTCATCATCATTTAAAAAAATCATCTATTATTTTTCACTTTATGTTTCTGTGTGGGAGCAAACTGTTGAAATCCTTACTTAATGTATACTAAGCTGATCTTCTGTATATTAAGATAATCGAAAATGAATCTTGATGTGAATGGAAGGGGAGAGGGAGTGGGCAAGGGGAGGGTTGTGGGTGGGAGGGACAGTATGGGGGGGAAGCCATTGTAATCCATAAGTCGTACTTTGGAAAGTTATATTCATTAAATAAAAGTTAAAAAAAATATAAAGTTAGCTAGCTTTTGTCCTGCCATTTTTATATAAGTGTCAGCTCACATATCAGATACACTCTTCATCCTATTTATCTTATCATTTTTAATTGTGAAAAGTCAGTATTTCCTCTTTCTGATCTGTGCCTTTGGCTGTTTCTGTCATCATGTCCCACCCACTAGTTGTACATTTTGTTCTAATCGCTAACAGGAATGATATTCATATCACATATTTTTCTAAAATCTCATATCCTTTTACTGAAGAAAAGGCTTGGGAAAATAAATTATCAATGTTAGGTACAGAGGAGAATTTACATTTCTTCAAGGAGATCTATTATTTTTCACAGTTTTCACTGTGTACCAATATTTCTTTTCTTTTCTTTTTTTTTTTTTTTTTTTTTTTGGACAGGCAGAGTTAGACAGTGAGAGAGAGACAGAGAGAAAGGTCTTCCTTTTACGTTGGTTCACCCGTCAGATGGCCACTACAGCTGGCACACTGTGCCGATCTGAAGCCAGGAGCCAGGTGCTTCCTCCTGGTCTCCCATGCAGGTGCAGGGTGCAAGTACTTGGGCCATCTTCCACTGACTTCCTGGGCCACAGCAGAGAGCTGGACTGGAAGAGGAGCAACCGGGGCAGAACCACGCCCCAACTGTGACTAGAACCTGGAGTACCGGCACCGCAGGCAGAGGATTAGCCTAGTGAGCCATGGTGCCAGCCTGTGCACTAATATTTCTCAAACAAACTGATACCCTGAAAGTATATGAAGCTAATTAAAATTAAAACATGATAAAGTAGAACATTGGGTAAAGGCTTTCTACTCAGAAGTACCTACATCAACAATTAGAAAATCCAGCCAACACCATGCATTGGTGAAATATGTTTTATAGCCATATGCCACCCATTTTAGAAGCATTTCCAGAATGAAGATGTAGGTGAATATCTTGTCAGCATATTCCAGGATAATCTTGATGGTCTTTTTCTTTTCAATATATATATCTTCAAAAGCCTGTGGAAATAATATCCAAACTTCAATCATGCACAACTTAAAACTTATGATTCATAGCAAAGACAGGAGATAGAATTGTGATGGTGAGACCACTAAGACATAGGAGTACTACTAATCTGGGCCAGCTGACTTTCTTCTGATTCTCAACCAGTATGTATCATGGAGTTCTGGTTTTCTCATTGATAGTTACCAGACAATAAGTGAAAGAATAAAAAAGAATGACATGACCTATAATGATCTGAAACCTGTAGGGATTTTCAACTTCATCTGACTCCCATTCTCTCCTCACTCAAATTGAATAAGTACTAATAATTTGAGACATGACTCCATGGTCAGTCCCTCTTAGAAACCTCTTTCATCCTATAATCTCCTTTGCACTCACCTGTATGGTTTGAAATATCTCCTTCATCTGTTAGTTGCTTATATATACTAGTGCCTAGCACCATGTCAAGAACATAGCAGGAAAAAGCAAAGAGTCACTAAGTGAATAACTAGGGTAGCTTAATAGACTATAGTACACAGAAATTGGTTCATTCTTTTGGATTCTGTAACCATATTTTATCATTCATCAATAGCTTCAGCTCCACAAATCAGTGTTACATTCATTCCATGAATGCAACACTTTTATACTTGCAAAGAACTTTTAGTAAGTGACAAGCAGTGAAACTGTGGTCATAGACACAAGTTCCTTGGGAAATAAATTTTATAAAGTACTGGTGGCTCACTGAGATACTAGAAATCATTGCTGATATAGACAGGTCTATATTATTAGAATTTTCTCTTTCAGGTTGAAACAATATGACTTGCTGGCATAAATAAAAATGAATGGATATGTACCTTTAGTAATTAAAGTTGTATTACCTGTGCACAGTCCACAATACCTTGTGCCATTCTCATTATTTTTCCAATTCTATCAATATTTTAAAAACTATCCTTAGGGTCAGGTGCTGTGGCATAGCATGTTAAGCCACCTCTTGGAATGTCCACATAGTTCAAGTCCCTGGCTCCTACACTTCCAAGCCAGCTTCCTGCTAATGTGCACCAAAGGAGGCAATAGATGATGATGGATTCAGTGTTTGGATCTCCACCACCTACGTAGAATATCCAAATGGAGTCTGTGGCTCCTGGCTTCAGTCTGGCCCAACCCTGGCTGTTGTGAGTTTTTGAGGAGTAAACCAATGGATGATCTTTGTCTCTTCTCTCTCTCTGTCACTCTGTCTTTCCAGTAAGCAAATAAAACTTTTTCAAACTATTTTTTTGTAAATTGTTGGTGAAATATTGATGACAATGGAGAATTTGGGGGCAGAGAGAATGAGCAAACCTACTAAGATGCAAAAAGAAGGTCCCAGCAATTGGTAGAGGTTCTGAAATTGAGTAGAATAGAAATGCAGGGAGAGGTTCCTAGCCCTCGGGATTTTCCAGCCCTCCCCTTGCCAAGTTTTGGAGAAATCAGGCAAGTCACCTAAACTTGGCAATGACTCAGTCCTTGACATACAAAGACAAGGAAGGGGTTTGGTTTTAAGGATTAAGCATTTGCTATAGAGAGCTATGGTACAGAGCCTGTTCCTCCGACTAGGGTCAGAGGAGGACTAACAGCAAGTCTCCATGATGAAAATCCAGAACTTTGCCTAAATTGACAGCACTTGCACTGGTCCAAGAGGCTAAAATAGGATTCAGTCTGCAGAAATCCCAGCTTGCAGAACTCATTTTGTGGCTGTGGGAGCAAGAAGCCCAATATGTCATTGTATGTGCCAAGTCTTATCTGTAGCCTAAACTTTACTGGTACTCACTTCTGTTACCCTGCATTTATTGCTCTTTGGTCTCTCCTCTTCTTTCTAAGGAATCACAGCAGGGGGAAAAGATATAGTGACTTCAAATTAGATCTTAAGTAAGTTGTAGTACTGTCATTTTATAGCTTTAGGACATCAAGAATCTTGCAACACTGTATCCTGCTTCCTCATTGGTAAAAAGCAAAATTCCACCATCTTACAAGGTTGTTTGAAAACTGAGAAGAATCTATATAAATATTTTTTGACAGGCAGAGTTACACAGTGAGAGAATGAGAGATAAAGGTCTTGCTTCCATTGGTTCACCCCCCAAAATGGCCGCTACGGCCGGAGCTGCGCCAATCCAAAGCCAGGAGCCAGGTGTTCCTCCTGGTCTCCCATGTGGGTGCAGGAGCCCAAGCACTTGGGCCATCCTCCAATGCCCTCCCAAGCCACAGCAGAGGGCTGGACTAGAAGAGGAGCAACCAGGACTAGAACTGGTACCCATATGGGATGCCAGCGCCGCAGGCAGAAGATTAACCAAGTGAGCCACGGCATCGGCCCCAGGATGGGTTCTTTAAGTTTGTTGTTCCTTAGTTGTGTTATCAACCCATTATGTGTTCTGCATTCACACAGGCCCACTGTATGTCCTCTTGGGAACTGGGGATAACGGGAGCCAATATAAACATGGTGAAACTCTTGCTACTTTCCACGCCATGAGTAACGAAGTTCTTTATTGCAGACCTATGCATCTCACGTCTTCCTAGCATCCAGGAACAGCTTAACATACTAGGCTAAGAGTAGATGAAGAAGCATGAAAACTGTGAGGCAATTTATAAAATCCCACAGTACTCCCATTTTTGTTTACTGGAACTTGCAATGGTATATATAGCTGGAAGTGGGCCCCTAATGACTTTTAAAGTTCATTTCTGTTAGTGTCAGTAGAAAAGAAAGACAAGAAAAGGCTCAAGGGGCTTGTGACTCTCAGTTCCCTTCCAACCCTCCTGGAAGGTGCTCATACATACAAGAACAACTAGCTCGTCTTAGTATCACTTTAAAAGAAGAGTATGTTTTCATTTATAATAATATGCAAGCTACTTCATAGACTGACAGTGCCTATCTTTCTCTCAGTATCCCTGTCTACCTATATTTGCTCTTCCCCTCCAAGAATTCTGCATGGTTTTTGCTGCTTTTAATTTCCTGAATATCTGTTGCTGTTTCACATTTCTGTTCATTACACATGTCATCCTCTTAACTTACCTAGCCTGGCCGGAAAAAATCCTATTTGTCTTTTTAAATACTGTAAAACATCATTTACTTTATGAAATAAGAAATAGACAATTGTTCTGGCTAAAGAGCTTTATCATGTACACACTTCACTTATGAATGCGTTCCAGTTCTGTAATCACCAGCTTGTATCTCTCTCTTTAGTCTCACTCAGACACTTAAGAATAATATGCTGATCTTATCCATTTGGCATTCAAGGGAGCAGGAATAATAATGTCCATTTAAGAGTGCTCAGTAAACATTTAAAACTCTGTCCTTGGAACTAACCATAATGATTATATCTGAAGTAAAACAGCTTGCTATGATATTTTTATCCTATAATCATTTATCTTTTTTTTTTAATTTTTGAGATAACTTTTAAAAAGGCCTAATTCTTCACCAGATAATAAGTTTAATAAGTAAAAGCAAAAAGACTCTAGTTTAGTTTGAATATAGACAATGGCTGTAAACCAAAATTGAATGGAATAAAGACCATTTCACCCATACAGTTTTTGTCAATTAGTCATTCATAATTTCTTTCAATGAAATAGTCCATTCATTAAAAACAACATGATTGACTTAAGGGGTCCAATCACTTACCAGAGCCCCACTGCTGAGCAGGATCATGAGAACAATGAAGCTTTCAAACCAACTGTGTTCAACTATCCTGTAGCATGTTTTCCTGATATTCCACCAGATTTTTCCTTTCCCTGATTCTATGTTAACTTGGCAGCATGGGAACCTCCGTACACAGCCTGTCAAGGAAGATATACAGGTAAAATCTTGATATTTAAAAATGCAAAAATACCTTATTTAGTGCAAAGCTTTGTCCATGGTACTTATGCAACCAATACTTTGTAACACTTATATCTGCAGTTTCAGGTATATTTAATTTGGATACTGCCTTCTCTCAACTTGCAACTCTAGGTGATGTTTCGTTAATATATTTATTGCTTATTTGAACTGAGAATGTATTTTTGCTCTCTGTAATGCCCTGATTTCTTATCAATCTCCTCCAAGGTGTTTAAACTGCTTTTATTTAATGTATGAATGAACGAGTGAATGATCTAAAATCTGAGAACAAAATGTGTGTCAGGGCCTTCTTTGCTGCCAGAAATTTTCCTAAGTGTGATCTGGTTTATAACTGGACATGCTGCCATTCCTCTTCAAAAGCCTGTTGAGAAACATCATTCCAAAGAAGATTAAGAAAATTAGGAGAAGTTTCTAAAATTAGGTTCAGAAGTAGTAAGTCTTTATTAGAAGGTGCACAGGATGTGCACTGTGGTGAAGTGGGTTAAGCCACCACTTGGGAGGCCTGCAACTTCTATCAGTATAGCTGGGACTCCCATCTCATTTCACAGTGCCAGTTTGAGTTCTGGTTCCTCTGTTTCTACCCAGCTTGTTGCAATTGCATTATCAGAGGCAGCAAATGGTGGCTCAGGAGCTTAGGCCCCAGCCACCCTTGTGAGAGACCTATATGGAGTATGTAGGTGAAAAGGAAAAAGGACCAAGTGTGTGGAGCATTCAGGAACATCATTAAGGGGCAGAATTCAATGGGCATAGAATTCAATGGGCATAATCAGCCATTCCAGTTCATGATAACCAATTAAATTGTTAGGAATATTTGCTTCTCTGTTGTTAAATGCAGTCATAATTAAAAATTCAGTTACACAAATCTAGAATTAATCATTTAAGATAATACACATTTGTTTCTATTATTTTAATCTATTTTATTATTATTCTCTGTGTTCCTCAAACTATTTATGGCCATTCTACATGGGTAGTGGAAATTTGATATACTCTTGGGCTACCATGTATCTTTTCCTAACTCCACATTCAATGAAGTCACATAATTTGTTTGAAATCAGTCATGATGGAAGTCCACAAAATTATCAAGTGCTACCAGTCAGGGCTTCTTGAATTTCTAGAACAGAATTAATATGGTGAGGAAGTGCTAATAAAACAGTGAAATTATGTTATATTTACAACCATTATATTGTAAGTAGCACCAAAAAATGAGAAAATGTTCTTTCATTATTCAAACTGTATTTTCCAGTTTAGCAAAGAATAGCTCACATCTTCAGTACATGAGTGATATTTTGACATATAGCTTCCATGTTTCACATTCATTGTACTGATAAATTAAAATGAAAATAGCGAACACTCTTCATGCTAAAACTATGCTTGTACTGTGTTAACTCTTTCAGAACTTTATGTGTTAAGCAGATTTAAAAATTAATTTCCTTTTCTACATATTTTATTGAAAATACTTTTCAATTAAAAATATTGAGCCTGTGAAGTAAAAACTTTTATATTCATAAGCTGCATGTCCTGACAAGACTAGAATCACTTTAAGGAGTTACACTTACTAGACAATGTCTTGTTATTGTTTTAAGTTTCTTAAGTGGATAGTGCATTGATCCAGTTGATACAAGGTATTTCCTTGCACCTTAATAGAAATGTAGCAATCTGGGGCCAGTGTAGTGGCTTACTGTGTAAAGCTGCCACCTGCAATGCTGGCATCCCATAAGTACACTGGTTCCTGGCCTGGCTGCTCCATGGCCTGTCTAGCTTTCTGCTAATGGCCTGGAAAAAGCAGCAGAAGATGGCTTGGGTGCTTTGGCCCCTGCCACCTGCATGGGAGACCTGGATGAAGCTCCAGGATCCTGGCCTTGGCCTGGCTCAGCCCTGGCTGTTATGGCCATTTTGGGAGTCTCTTTCTCTTTCTCTGCTTCTCTGTAACTCTTTTGGACAAATAAATCTATTTAAAATAATGTAGCAAACTATGTTTTGTTCCCTAAGTCTATGATGTTTTTGCTATTATGTATTTTATAATGTTCCTGTCCTTTCTCTCTGGAATATGCTAAGCCCCTTGAAGGTTAAAAATGTGTCTGCGATTCCTTTCTTTCTGCTCACAGTACTCACTGCAGTCCTCTACACAGTGCAAAATGTTGTGAATAGTTTGTTTTTAAAATATTTAATGTTCCCAAAGGGTTCTATAATGTCATCAATGTTTAATCTGAAGGGTTGCATCTCTGTGAATTCCAGACTTTACAATTTGAGCAAGCAGGAATAAAAAAGGGCTAACAGAAATACATATGTGGCTTCCTTTGTCCAATGATAATTACAGTAAATGTGATTTAATATTTAAAATAATTTATCATCATTTGTACTTAAATTAACTTTCATATCTCAAATGCATTTAGTTAACAGAAGACATTTGATAAAATGATATGGAAACAATAAAAGCATAGGGTAAAAACTATGGAACAATCTCTTCTAGGGCAAAAATAAATATCAGTGCTGAAAAATTTAACATGTAATTTTTCCTGTATAGTAACTTAAGGCTTGATTCTTTGGAATTTATTTCAAATATAAAAATGAAGGTGTAGAACTTAATCTGACTCAAGTGTAAATTATCGGAGAAGGAAACCATCAGTTTTGTTTAAGAAAAATTTAATCTCTGAAAGTTATTTTGATCAGTCATAAAATAGAAGAGAAATATTATTTTTACAATTGAGAAATTGGAAAACCACTATAGTTTCTAATTAGAAAAGTAGATAAACTTTGTAATTGAGATGAAGTTTATAAGATTGCCCTCAGGATTTATCACACCTGAAAGATTTTCTCTCTCCCATTATGAGGCAGGAGTGCTCCACTGCCTGTCTGGCTTTTTGCAAAAGCACCCCCACAAGAGATTTCCAACCTATCTAGTTAACAACGTTATCACACCTTCTCCTTACAAGGAGTTTTAATTAAATGTAAACCTAACTGAGAACCTTTCAAACATGTTAATGGATCCCAGTGGGTAAATGCTTTTCCCTTTGGGTAGTTTCATTAATGTGCTCTCATGTTACATAATGTCCATGTGGGATTTCATCATGTTCAACCAATACTTTTTTTTTTTCTTTTTTGACAGGCAGAGTTAGTGAGAGAGAGACAGAGATAAAGGTCTTCCTTCCGTTGGTTCACCCCCCAAATGGCCGCTGCAGCTGGTGCTGCGCCAATCCAAATTCAGGAGCCAGGTGCTTCCTCCTGGTCTCCCATGCGGGTGCAGGGCCCAAGCACTTGGGCCATCCTCCACTGCACTCCCTGGCCACAGCAGAGAGCTGGCCTGGAAGAGGAGCAACCGGGACAGAATCCAGTGCCCCAACCGGGAATAGAACCTGGGGCGCCGGCACCGCAGGCAGAGGATTAGCCAAGTGAGCTGCGGCACCAGCCCAATGCTTTCAAACAAAAAAGAAGCCATTGTCCTCTTCAAAGACAGATTACCATGAAATACATAACAGCATGATTAATACAATTAATCATGTAAAATTGATTGGGAACATAAGCTTTTATTCATGACTTCTTAAAATGTCTAAATCCTCTAACACGAACATTTCACAGATGTTGTCTTCTGCCTAAAAGAAAAAGACAAAGCATGAAGTTGTCTAACATGTTATCCATGTGAAAATTAGTGATCAGCTCTTTTACAGACAGCTGAAGACCTCAGAACTTTTTATGGCGTTCTGCCTCCACCATACAGATTAACTGACTTTTTGTCTAACCTCCCCTCACAGCCACCCCCGTCCCTTTAAAAACTTTCATTGGCTTGTTGGGAGGAAAGATCACATCTTGGATCCAGAGATCATTCTTCCCCCAAGACGGCCAGCTTCTTGAAATTAATCTTTTCTTCTTACCAAAAAATAACTAAAAATTGAAAGTACAAAATAGAAACACGAAATTTAAATCATCAGTATCACACTGCTTTGTTTCTGACGTAAAATGAGGTTTTCTGTGTTTTTAAAAAATAATGCTCTTATTGTTTGCAGATGTCTATTTTCCTGTCATTTTGCCGAATGCATTTGTTCATGTTTTGTAAAAAAAAAAAAAAAAAAAAAAAAAAGCTTGGAGAATGAAATTTTGAAGAATAAAAGCAGAAATTCTGATTCTGGAAGGTAAGCTCATGAGTATAGTGAGTCAATAGCATCTTCCTTCTTTTATATAGAATTGTTAAGAAAATCACTGAAAAGCAATAAGGAAAGTAGAAGGAAGAAGATGGGTACTGTGCTATTGGTAAGGATTATCTGATTTGATCCCTAAACATAGCCATAATATAGATGTTATTATCTCCACTTTAAGGGGAGGCATCTGAATTACAAGATTTGAATGTGCTCAAAATCTCATAGACAGTTAGTGGTAGGCCAATTACAACTCATGTTTTCCGGCTCAAAGCTTGTTCTCTGTTTTATTGTGTATACTGTGACTGTACTTGAAAGTTGTGTTTTTGCTTATATGGTATAAAACTTGATCAGAAAATAGCAGATACTTCCCAAGACCAAGATCAAAGTTATGTCTGAATAAAATCCCTGGAAATTTCCAGGAGCAGTAAATTCTGTATGATAGAAAGTGAAAAGGAGGAGAAGGAGTTACTGTTGGAAAACAACAGACTGATAACAGCATCAGGTCCCTTGATTATGATGCTTGCATCCCATATCACAACATCTGGTTTTGAAGGCAGACTTGGGCTCCTGATTCTGACTTCCTGCAAATGCAGATTCTGGGACACAGCAGTGATGGCACAAGTGATTGAATTCCTGTCACTGACATAGGAAACCTGGATCCAGCTTCTGAATTCTGGCTTTGTCTGAGCTCAGCCCTGGCTATCCTGGGCATTTGTGGAATGAACCAGCAGATAGGCTCATTCTTTTTCTCTCTTTCTCTCTCTCTCTCTTCAATAGTACAGTGCTTCATAGTACACACATTGTCTTAGAAATTATTGCTAGGATGTCAAAAATTTGGAAACTGAAGTTAGGGGCTGCTGTGACTTGCCTTTAGTCACAGACACAATAGAACTGGTGTGGAAATGGGGCTCTTCTGGCTTTTAATAAACAACCTCTGGATAGAATTAGATATTAAGACAAAAATCCAACACTAAAAAAATGTTAGTTTTTATATTTTCTCTTACCATCTGTAAAACAGGCCTCTGGCTCATCTGAATTCACAGGTTCAGCCTCGGCTTCCTCTCCCTCTCCTGGAAGGGCATTATCAACAGTACTGCACTCTGAGGAACTTGATCGGTTCAATCTCTAAAAAGGAATTCACCCCCACCAGAAAGTTCCATCAGTTTTCATTTAATCCTGCATTTAACTGTTATCTAATAATCAGTCATGCAAAATGATATGAAAAAAATTAACAGTATGATGACCATAAAACATGTATAAACACACATTGAGGTCAAGTAACCTTCCAATGCATCTATACTTGTTGTTTCTATCTATACATCCTGTGAAAGGTAAATTTTATTAATTTTATGATGCTAATAAGTAGCAAAAAATCAACATAAGCCAGTTTTTCCTGTTGAGTATCACTTCTAAAAAGTATTGGCCACATTTTTCAGGTTTAATAAAAATATATGTATAATATTTTAGGACAATAAAGAACCAAAGACACAAGGGCCAAATTGCAAATGCCTGATCACTGAAAGCTTGGATTTGACAGCCAATAAAGCTCATTGGCAGTTAAGATTTAGAAAAAAAAAATAGTGTACACTAAAATTCAAACATAGTTTTCTAATATCTCATGGATTTATGATTAGTAATAGGATGATATAGATAGAAGGTCTTTGGCCAAGACTTAAAAAACAAAGTGTTGTATTGGAACCAAAATGCCAAAGACCACACCAATGCCACCAATTTTAGATAATTTTAGTATACAGTAGAAAATATCAAATTATTTATAATGTCAATAGGGTGGCTATTAAAGTGGGCACCACATGCAAACTCTGAAACAAAGATTCAATGAAATTACACAAGGCAGACTTACACATGGGAGCAATGAATTGTCATTATGATCATATGATCATAACACAAAGTTTGTCCCACCCACAACTTCATGGTTATAGTGATGTTTACACATACATACACAGAAGTTTTAGAAAAAAAATACATACAGCAATTGTAGCAAAACTGTCAAATTTTCCTAATATTGTTTTATAAAGGGGTAGAGCATCATGTCAATGAAAAAGTTCACTTTCATTTTCATCTCCTAAATGGCATGTGAATGCTACCACTATTATTTATTACAACACATGTTCTCTAAGATTGCAGCTTCTCTGTTATGGAATAGTTGAAGCAAATGTAAGTACTAAAAATGAGTAAATATCCATTTCAGTTAAATTGATTCTTCAATCTCTTACTTTGAATTAATATCACAGGCTCAATATAAAGTATCAATTTTTAGACATTTGGATATAGAAGCTGGAAGTAGTCTTTATGAGTACCAGACTAAATTCTTTGTTCTATCATTATCACACAGCATGTAACACTGGTAAAAGTGGCATGTATAAAATATTTCACATGAGGAAAAATCCTTTTCACAGCTGAAATAAAGAATTATGAATACCTATTAAATGAATAGTTTTAGCTTAAGCACAGATGCATTATTTCAATGAGGCTAACAGTTTAATAGTATCTATTATGAATAATATCAGGATGAAATTTCATTTAAAATAGGTTAATAATAGTTTAATTGAATTCATCTAAAATTTCTTTACAATAAGAAAGGGAACTAGAAATCAACAATAACTGAGGATTCAGTAAAATTTAAGGTTTCAATTACTCTCAAGAATAATTTAGGGGAATCATAATTACATAGATGATCCATTATGCCAATTTCCACAAAAACTAACTTTATGTGCCATATCTAAATGACTGCATTTATTAATGTGTTCAGTTCTTAGCCTCTTAGCTGCAAATGAGCTGCCACTAAGGAACTGAAAGACAAGGCCCTATGATTTTTTGGATACAAGACAGAGCCCTTCAACTCTGAGAAACCGAGTTACTGGATAGGACTTTGAAGCAAAGCAGTTGGAGGCATTGTGATAGAGAGAATACACAGCACCTCCTTGCTATTAGCAAAAAATATTAACATTTAAAAATGGTTTCCTTTCAGCTGATAACAAGCTTTAAATAAAATGGTTCTTTGCAAAATTCTGACTCTGGCTAAATTAATGGAAACATCTTCAACATAAATATTTAGTTTTTCCCTGTTTAAAAGAACATTACCGAGGAAGTAAAATCCAGGAATGTTTCCCAGGAATCCCTTCTTTTGCACATGTAGCTTTTATGGAAAATTTTTTGTCAAATTCACTAGAACAGAAATTATAAAACTTTTTTACAGGAATTATAATTAGCTCATTCTTACAAGCTAAATTTTGCCTAACACATTTTTAGAAATTCAGTGATTTCCTGGGAGTGTTTTAAGTATTCACTCAGTAATTATTTCAATTATCCAATTAAATTAAGTCATGTGTCATTTACAAATAGAGCTATATTTTGAGAAATGCATTGTTAAGTGATTTTATCATGGTAAACACATCATAAATTGCACTTTTACAAACTTAGGACACCTAAGCCTTTGGTGTGTATTGTTGTTGTCATTATGGTCTGTTCTTAACCAAAACATTGTCATGTGGCACATGCCCTAGCAATAGACAGTTTAGTCCCAATCTATTCAGGCTTTGAAATTCATACTTGTTAAAGAATAAGCTTCTTTAATAAGACCTTAAAGGAATGCTTTACACAGAAAAACTATTATTACAAAATTTATTTTGTGGTGAAATTCATCCAGTTGTCATAACAGTCATCTCCACATTGAAATAATTGAATTTTTATATTTTCTTTACAGAAAAGATAATCACAACCACATATATCACTTTATATAAATAATTTGATGATTTCATTTCTATAAACTGGAACATTTATTATCTAGTTTTCCTTGTATTGGGAGATTGAATATGCTATATATAAGACTAATTGAAATACTTTTGTATGAAGAAATTCCTTTTGATATACATAGGTTATTTTTATTTTTCACATGGTTTGATAAAAAAATGAAGTTTTTTTTACTATATTAGTTACTTGTTTGTCAGGAAATGTAATTTTTTATTTTTTGGAAAGTTACAAATAAATACAAATAAATGATAAAATGTATGACAAATAAATTAATAAGCTCAGCTCAATAGAAAGTATTATAATATTTGGTTTTTATTAACTGAGATTGATTTTATTTGTTTTCATACAAATAAAGAACTTTAGAGGACAATCTACTCAACATCAAAAATTAATTACTATAGTATATAGCAAAAACTCCACTGTGTCTTGATTCTTTTCTCTTGAGGTAACCACTATACAGTGTGTGTGTGTGTGTGTGTGTGTGTATGCTCAACATCTTCCCATACTTTTCAATGTGTATCCATAAAACATTGTAGTTCTGAAACCATCTTTATTTTGATTTTGATTGTAGGGCAAAGACTCCCTTTTCAATATTGAAAATATGATCGAATCAAAAAGTTATTTTTGATGGTTTTCCTTTTGATTGCCTTGAAGTTGTGTTTCCTACAATGCTATATATGATATATATTTTATATATGTATGTAATTAAAAGTATACATCTGTCTTTAAATGTTAGGTTTTAGATGAGAAAACACCATTAGCTGGCTACTTAAAAATGTATTACTCTCATTTACATAGATAGGCAATAAGGTTGTAGGGATAATTTTGTTAGTATGGTGGTAGTTAATGTTAACTGGTCATTTCTTGTTCCTATAGGTATGAAATAGCATCATCTAATGATTTAATAATCTTTCACTCAAAAGTAGAAAACCATCAAACCTAAAGCAACATGGTAGAAAACACAGAACATAATCCCTTCTCTTAAGAAGATGGTTTACCATAAAAATATTTCAAAACAGTCACATTTAAATCCTGGCTGGAGGCTAAGCACCCATTAATAAAGTCGTGCTTGGGCTAGTCTGAGATCCTGGGTTTGAATCGCAGGAAAGATCATTGATTGTGCGACTGTGTAGTTTCTTGGGAAATAGCTCATTTTAGAGAGTAATATCATTCAGGGTTCATGGTAGTGTAATATAATTGTACTTGGGATCTGAGGACTCAAGGTTATACCCAATGTTTTCCAAGTAAAATAAACCCATTAATAATGCTTAAAAAATAAAGTATATAGTATACAGTGTTGGCTTTGCACAACAAAAAATATTCTTTAAGAAGCAGAGCCCAGAATAATTAGTTCAACTTGATATCAAAATAAAGACACATAAAGGACAGCAAGAAGTTTGAGAGAAATAAATCAAAAGGAAGGGGTGGGTATAAAGGAGAAGTAGTTATGGTAGATAGATATTAACAATAAACTAAGCTCTGTAATATCAAGAAGGAATGAAAACACTTTTTAAATTGTATTCAAGTCAGTATCATCTATCTTTTAATTTAACAACCTTATTTTATAATTAAATTTATGAAGATGTTTCAAAATAATTAAGGGGTAAAGCAGTAAAGTTCAGCATAAAGAATTCAAGGACCATTGGAGAAGAATTCCACAGTTACCATGCTTGTGTGAGTAAGAGTCCAGTGTTTTTCAAGTTTCCACACTCCATGAGGTACTAACTTGGATTTGAAATACACTTTTCTGGTATAGAACCAAAATAAGTTTTCTTCTCCTTTGTAATTATAAGAGCTTTTCTTTTTGCCTCCTGGAGAAATGTAATTATTTTCTTACAACTTTTTCAATGTTGGAGATCATCTGTTATATTACAACCCGTGCTTTTCATCTTGAATGCAATGATATTTGGTTTCTTTACATGATTTTTTTGGGGGTCTCTCAAGGTCCCTGCAATCTTTTTTTGTGTGCCTCTGAAATATCTGATAATTCTTTAAAAAAAGTGATATCCCAAATTAAAATGTACTCCAGCTATTTGTGATAAGTTATTTTCCTCTTTGTTTCAAGATTTTCACATTACTTCCCCTAATTGGACAGAAAATGGACTTTTTATTAATTAGTTGCAATAAAATCAAGGCTCATACTACAATTATGGACAACTAAAATTTAGCTCTTTTTGAAATAAAGGGGAAAAGTCAATATTTATCCTTTACTAGTGTTATTTACTGCTACTAGGGATACATTGTGGAGGCTCTTGGGGAACAGCTATGCACTCACTGGGAAATGCACTAAATAGGTCCACCACAGGGGTCAACAAGGCATATATTGGTTAGCAATGGAGAGATAATAAAGCCAA